GATTCTGAATACACGGAGGCGGCAGATGTTGCTACGGAAGGCAGTCACGAGGGAGCTGAAGGAGAGCAACAGAATGAACCAGTGAGTTCGGGCATTTGGAGTATGCCTTTATCGTCAGATGGTGCAGGGGTTGGAAAAATTGCATTATTTTTACTTTAGCCACCAGATGCAGACACGCAAGAGTCCCCTGAGGCTGTAAGGCTTACGTTTTAATTCCCTAACTAACGACTGTCCTAACCTCAAACACAAATTGCAGTAGTAACTGCATAGAAGCCTTAAAACTGTTCAACTGCTACTCTTGTATATCTTTTAGGAACCTAAAGCTCCGTCTCCATCGGTAAGAGACGTCCTAATTTGCAGTTCTTACAGCTGACCAAGGAGGGGGTGCAATCAAAGCTATCTTTATTTGGGGGTATTTTAATTTTAGGTGAACTTAAGTGAATCGGGAGTTGGTAGTGAAGATGTAAGCTGGTTTTCTTTCTCCCCACGCTAACTTGAAGGCTTTCCAGTAGTCTTGAGGACACACGAATAATCACGTGGCCTAAATAGCTGTTTAACGTCAGCCTATTTGTGAATTCAAAACACCCCTCTACATGCGCATCTTTGTATTGTGATGCGGTTTGGGAGGAGTGTCATGCTGTGGTAGTTGGATGAGCTGCTCCCGCAGCATTGCCGTTCTTAAGCTTACTTGCCACAACTCTCACTCCTCATACGTCGGCGTCTCACTTGTTACTTATTATTAATGCAAATAACGTGGCCAATCGTTAAGGGTTTTTTACTGCAACATCTCGTGAAGCGGAAACCGCTTTTCCCTTGACATTTAGCTAACAAACTGCCAAGTCGAAACTTTGTGCATTGCTATCATTCTTTTTTCGTTTGTTGTGTTTCTTCCTAGGAACCGTATCCTCTATCCAGCGCGTGTTCTGACGAGTGGCATGGGTGGTCCATTGTTATCTTTGGCAATTTCCTCTTCATCTACAACAGCAGTGCAATTGTGCTATTTGACATAAATCGCGAGGACAACACTTTGTGTGGACTCTACCTAACTAGCTCCAAAGACAAGTCTCCTGTGGAGTTTCGTGGAGAAATGGAAGTAACCAACCCATCAAGTCAGTCGGTTTCTCACTGGCCTCTCTTCTCCCTCCTCCCACCGCATCCTTCTTCCCCTCATTATTCGTTTTATGCCTTTGTCTTTTAAGCATTTGGTGTAGCATACGGTAGCGTTTGTAACTGATTGTAATCACAAACCTTGACGCATCTACACACCTTGTTTGGGGATTACAGGGTCGCGTTCTTCAATGCGCATTACTTTATAATGGTTGGCGCTTTTAAATGTGTGTGGAGAAATACTGGAATTTTCAATTTCAGTTGGAGGTTTCCGGTATCAAATGCTTTACCTCACACGGCAACTCATGGCTTCTCGCAATTTTGACCTAACCAATGAAGTTATTCAGCAATGGAGCGACTTCTACGTCGAAGAACCTACAACGCAAAGGAAACGTCCGCAGTCGTTATGTAGGCGAAGACTTGATGCCCACTCAAATCATCGTCGTCGAGCAACCTCTGCACCCCCGCGCAGCAAGCCTCTGGTTCCTGGCAAGGAGTTTGAAGAATATACAAGAATACGAACGGATTTGTGGAAGATGTCTAAGCAACTTGGTGTGGTTCGAGCCGGCAACCTGCTGTTGGACATCGTTGAGACGGAAAGTGACTTGCTTCTTTTGCGAGTCAGACCCAAAGGTGCGGGTGATGATGTGTTCCTCTTCTCCTCTCGCCAAAATCAGGGCTTCTTTAAACTCCGCGCATGCTATGGTTTGGCTACCATTCTTCATGAAAGCATTGATCCTCCCTCTGAGGCTGAAGGTCCCACGCCCACCATCATTGGCATGGATGATCGATTTTGGTTGATAAATTCTAGCAGTGGACCAATTCAAGAGGACTTGTTTGCCGAGGATGTTCAAAAGTGAGTTGTTTTTTTCTTTCCTATACCCACAATTGAGTTTTTTTTCATTAATTTATGCCTTTAAATGCTATGATGCCATTTTTGCTATCTCATTCCATTAGAAACTTCGAAGCGCCAGTAGGAGAGAAGCAATTGGTCAGATTTAAGATGCACTACTTGGCGTCGAGAATGCTATCCCACGATCTGGCCTCCATGGCTTCCCCAGACTCCGCAAAACCTCTTCCGTCAGCACCTCCAAAGGGCATGATAACCAAGGGTAAGACCCTTGATGGAGCTGATTCTATCGTTGATACTATTGTTGCTCTGTGCGAAATCGCTGCATGCCTCGGCAACGCACCGTACCGGACCTCTAGACAGGAGGCATTGGATGACCTCAATGAGGGTTTTTCACATCTATTGGAAATCTTTTCAACCGGCGAAGAAGCTGTTACACCTTATGAACTCTCCTCCAGCGGACTCGTATCATCGCTTCTTCTTTGTCTTTCTTCTTCATCATGCATACATTGGAGTGGTGTTGTACGTGTAAAATGCTGTTCTTGATTTTTTTTACTTTAAATACCTGTGACCCTTTGCAGCCTCATTGATCGGCTCAAAAAAAATATACTTTAGGTTTCTTCAAACAATTCTCGCCTTCACATGGAATTCCTTCAACAGCGTCGTCAGACCTTTCTTCGTATATGCGAGGGGAAAGCCGGTCTGTCTACCCTCGTTCGGTGTCTCGTAAATGTTCTTGACCAAACTGAGCGTCTTCCAATCCATATATTTGAGGAGATTTCCTATCCCACTTCGTCGGATCAATTGAAGCATGGCGTGTCGGCTTGCATGGAGGCATTGAGTGCTGCAAGTCCTCCCGCTGGTGCAACTTCAGAGGTACCTCCAACCAGACCACCACGCTCTTGCCCGCCTAACTCATCGAGTTGCTTCGATTTCGCTGATTGCTATCAGTCAATAGAAGAGGAATATTCACAAGTTCTTCCGCTTGGACTCATTGCTCCGCCACTTCCCTCGGCCTCCGA